TCCTAGAAGTAGAGGACCTTATTGAGGATTTCTATTCATATTTAGAATACCCTTCAGAGATATTCTCTGAGAAATTTTAAAAATCGTTTTAAGGAGAAGGCACTCAAGGGTCTTCCAGAAACACAAGACCTTCTATGGGACTTTTATATTAAAAGGACCATAGGGATGCCTTATATCTTCTAATATATTCCCAAAAGATCTCTTACATTTCCCACTCAGCATTGCCATTACAAGCGACCCTGACCAATTATAGAGGTCATGCACAATGCATTTCATGTTCGAACACACACGCACACACTACTTGGGAGCAGCAACAACAACAAAGAAACAATGCAAAAAATCAGCTACAAATAAAGAAGCATTTTCGAATAGGAAAAAACGAACATAGATTTCCCCACACATAAATCAATTGAAAAAGTCCAGCAAAAAAAATCGTATCCAAAAGAAAATGTTAATGTAAATGTATGAATCGAACCGTAATACAAGGGAAATGTGTGGAGCATGGCCAGATGATGGTGCACGGACGGGTATGATGATGGATGGATGTGTATTGCAATCTGGTTGGTTGGCTGGCTGGCTGTTTGGTTGGATGGCACGCCATGAATTTTGATATTCCATGGAAGAGCAGCAGCAGCAGCAACATCAACAATTATTTTTGGTTGCTTTAATTCATTTCTCGTGCAATTAACGGAAGTTCGTTCCGTTCCACTTGAAACCAAAAAAAAAACATTCTACAAAATAAGAAAAAAATAAAACTTGCTTTTGCTGCACCATTCACTCTTCGATTCTAGTGTAATATTCTGCACACACTCTCAAACTCTTGGCCATAATTCTTGCATTGCAGGAATGATAATGAAACGGACCTCAGTCAGCTGGGTTCAATGCATGCGCGCAGTGCATTCTTGGTGCGGAAACCCCATTTGCAATGAAACGATGAACGAAATGCATGACCATAACAGCAGCAATGAGAACACTAGAGAAGAGCGCAACAGCCAAATACGAGAGAGAGAAAGAGCATGTCGTTTTTTTTTTTTTGTTTTGTTTCATTTCCCTTGAAATACCGCTGTTATGTTTCCTTTTTCTCTTCCCAGCTTACATTATTCACACTCTTCGGTTCTAAGGTTTGTTTACATTTGTTCCATTTACCACATCGTTCCCCTTCTTTTTATGCCAAATACCATTAACATATCCGTTCGTTTGTTTGTCTGATTGGAAGAAACGCGACGAGAATGAAGTGGAAATAAAAACACAACATGTGTGTGTTATGTTTATTATTCTTGACGAGTTGCTGTTGTTGTTGTTGCGTGTGCTGTGGTATGAGTTGCATTCATTCGTGTGCGTCGTCTACATGCCATATGGTTGGTTGGCAGTTCGGTCGGTGTCTGAAAACAACTTCACAATGGGTTGAATTTGTGCTGAATGTGAAATAAGAGTCACGTGATTGCAAGTAATTTGAAATTTATGGCTTAAATTAGAAAAACAAGTAAAACAAAAGCAGGTAAGTTCGGCCGGGCCGAACTCTAAATACCCTCCACTATTTGGAAGGAACTTGAAAATTTTTAAAAAACTCCCGGAAACTACCACTTAAGTGAAAACTACCGTTATATGGGGGCTATTCGAAAAAGTGGACCTACATACAAAAATATTTGTCATAGGCTGTAGTACCCATTACGAACTTCAAATACAAAATTTGAAATAATTCCGGTAAATAATGTCGCTGAAATCATAAAAAATCGAATATCGGGAGGTACTGTTATATGGGGGATATACGAAAACGTAGAACAACATGGCCCATTTACGAACCTAACTTGCCTACTGGTTAACTATGCCTTTAAGCAAAATTTTAGCCTTCTATCTCAATTCTCAAGATAGCGTCATCACAACAGACGGGCGGACATCGCTAGATCGTATTATTATAAATATTTCGAGGAGTTACAAACGGAATGACAAAGTTAATATACCCACCATAGAATGGTGGAGGGTATAAAAATATTATATTAATTATTATAACTTCAGCCATGTGACTAGAGAGGGTATATATTATACGGCCAAAACGTGCGAAATAACATTTTTGGACTTTAGGTCTCTTTGCACCAAATCCATTTCAGGATATTTGGAGTCTATCTAGCGATGTCTGTCCGTTCATCTGTCTGGCTGGTGCGCACAATAACTCTCGAAGGGAGTATCCGATTTCGTCCAAACTCGGTACATCGTAATATTATTATCAGACTTAAGTCGAATTCAGAGATGGACAATACCGATCGACTCTTTTTACCTCTCCCATAAAGGTCGAAATGTTCAAAGATAATATTTTACTGCACTGATAGAGAAAGGATCATCCGATTTTGCTTCAACTTTGCAAAATCTAATATTTGCATCAGTGCTAGGTCAGGTGTGAAAATGGATAATATCGGTGCACTCAATCAAGTACCTCCCCCACAAAGAGTCAAAATTTTGAATAATTATAACTTTATAAAATGTGATGTAAGTGTCCGATTGTCTCCAAATTACACACATCACAATATTTTTATTACTCCAAGAGTTGGTGTGAAGACAGAAGGTATCGGTCAACTCCTTCTGGTAACTCCCCCACAAAGGGTCTAGTTTTGAATAACCCAAACGATTATAAAATCCAAAATACAGGGTCAGATGAAAAAACTGCAACCAACTTCAGGCTGCTGTCAATTCTAAGCCACTCGTCCGACAGCTCTTAAAATTATTCCAGTGACAGCTCATTATATTGTTTACAAGCGTACAAAAGCATTTTGGTGATAATTTTCCAGAAAAAAAGTTATTGCTGATGGCCTCCAGTATTCAAGCGTGATAGTGTGATTTCTTTATATTTGGCTGGATAACCACAAGTGGCAATCGTTAGAGAACTCCAGCATTTAAATGTGAATAAATCTTTTGTGTCTCGTACCATCGCTCGTTACAGTGATACTGGTAGCGTAGTCCGACGTCAAGGAAGTGGAGGGAAGAAAACCGCAACATCAGCAGAAATGGTTCGAAAAGTAAAGAAGCGACTTGATCGAAACCCGCGTCGCAGTGGCCAAAAATGACTCGTGAGCTGAACATATCTCAATATTCCATTCGGCAAATATTGAAAAATGAGCTCGGGGTAAAGCCACTGAAATTCCAAAAAGTGCAAGAACTTACACCGCAACAGAAAGAAAATAGACTCAAAAGAGTTGCTTCGCTTCGCTTGGCCGAAAGTGGTGAATTGTCGAATTTGGTTTTCTTCGATGAAAAAACATTTGATCCTGTTTACTTGCCCAAGATGTGCACTTTCGGTTGGCCACCAGACACCAAAACTCAAGCCCTGGCCATAGTGATGGTGTAGGCCGCCATAACGACCGATGGTCGCTCTCCGCTCGTATTAATCGACCAGCATCAGAATGGCATCAGAATAAATGCCAAATATTGTCGCGAAAATATTCTGGAGGGTGTATTAAAGCCTTGGGCACGCAAACATTTTGGCCGCAGAGCTTGGACATTCCTACAGGACTCAGCACCATGGCACTCAGCACGCGCCACCCAAGAATGGTTACAAAATGAGGTTCCTCGCTTCATTTCCAGCGCACAATGGCCACCAAAATCTCCGGATTCCAATCCGTTGGCCTATTGTGTCTGGAGTATTTTGGAAAGTAAGGTTGGCACTAAAAAATACCAAAGTGTCGATCACCTCAAGTAAGCGCTTCGCCGGGAAAAGTACCGCAGAGCACCGCTCGGGCAGCGTGTGACGGTTTCATTGGCCGTTTGAAGGCCATAATTCGTGCCACAGGTGACCAATTCGAACAAATCTAAACTTATTCTAAGATTTGATGCTATTTTAGACATTTTTTGCTTTCATTCAATAAAATTCAGAAAAAAAAATTAAAAATTATGGCGTTAGACTTTGTTGCAGTTTTTTTTTATCTCATCCTGTACATCTGTCGTAAAAACCGACTGATACTATTTTCCTAGTTTTTAATTATACCCTACACCACAAGGTGGTCAGGGTATTATGTCTTTGTGCATTTGTTTGTAACAGGCAAAAGGAAACGAGATAGACCCCATGCTTCCTTTTGATGATCTGCATAAAATCACATTCTGAGTTGATTTATGCATGTCCGTCTGTCGGTATGTCCATGTATTTTTGTAAACAAAGTACAGGTCACATTTATTGCCCGATCCAGATGAAAATTTGCACAGATCATTTGCTTGGCCCAAGGACGAACCCTATTGAAATTGGAGATAATCGGCCAAAACTTAGATATAGCTCCCATATATATCTTCGTCCGATTTGCCTTTTATTGTGTACCAAACGTGTAATATCAGCCCGAATAGTATAAAATTTCGCATATAGATCCAAATTAGGCCTAAAAATAAGTATACCAAATTTGATCGAAATCGGTTCAGATATAGCTATAGCTCCCACATATATTGTTCATCCGATTTGTTAGTTTTGTCCTCCGCAGCCGTAATATGCACTCTGTAACACTCTGTATTTGGGGAAATATATCAAATACAGCTCAGAAATATCTTTGCCAAATTTTATCGAGATCGGTTCAGATTTGGATATAGCTTCCATATATAACTTCGTCCGATTTACTTTTTATTGTACACCAAACGTCTAATATTTGTCTAAATGGGATGGAATTTGGCACTTACGACCGAATTGAGTCTAGAAGCTAGTGTGTCAAATTTGGTGCTGAAGATCGGTTCAGATATAGCTATAGCTTCCATATATATTGTTCATCCGATTTGTTATATTTGTTACCCACAGCCGTAATATGCACTCCGTAACAACGATATTCAAGGAAATATATCAAATACAGTCGGTCCCGCCCGACTTTAAGACTTTCTTTATTGGTTTTATTTTAATAATTTTAAATTTCAATTAAATGTTTTTAATTTTCACTTTTACCACCCTTCCAAACCATTGTGCGTTATAGTAAAATTGTAGACTAGACCATGCCATGCCGGTTGGTCCCCACATGCTATGTAGTATCGTCGTGGTTGTCGTTTGCCATTCATATGTTTTTGTTTCGTTCAGAGACACCGATATCGACACCGACACACACCAGACCAGACCAACCATCCAAACCAAATCATCCAACCCATCGGCCGGCCGACACAGCCATCGTCAGTTTCATTAGTCTCAGTGTGTTCCATTCTTGTGCTTCTTTGATGGTAGGTTGGATGGTTGCTTGCTTTGTTGGTTGGACGATCCAAGCGAACAACAGACAGCAAGCGTTGTCCGCTGCGAATGAAGTTGCCGTTTCGTTTAGTTTATGTCGTGAGTTCAAACGGTTTGGATGTTTAGCAACGGGGGCGCGCTACGCCAATGCTAAGCTACTATTTTCGACTCCTTGTTTGCATATCGTGTTTGTTATCGTTACCGTCGTCGACGTCGTCTTCAACGTTGTACTAATTCGCATTGTTGTAATTATTTTGCTTAATACGGTTTTTAATTTTTTGTTCTCCAAAAATTTAATAAAAGAAAAAAAAATAAATTGAAGTAAAGCCTTTGCCCAAAACTCTTTTTGGAATAAATGTGTTGTGCGGGTCAATTCCCGTCTACGTTTCCCAAGTGCAAAATTAAAAGTGTAAAGTGAGTTTTGTTTTATCGGTGAAGTGTTGTGCTAAAAGCCAAGTAAATCCATCACTCCATATCCATCCATCCGTTCGTCTATCCAGTTCTAAAGTTATATTTCTGCACCCGGCCTGTTTTAAGTTCAAAATTTACGAATTGACAGCTGTCACCTGTGCCACACAAGAGTGCAAACGACTGAAGCTGATCAAAAGAGTGTGGCGGCATGCTGCGGTGGCATGGATCATAAATTGCTTTGCCTCCTCCTCTCCCCTCCCCTCTCTCCATCCTACAACGATTGCATCTATTGTTAGTTAGTTGTGCAGTAGTGCCTATTTGCTTGACTGCCAGCCAGCCAGCCAGCCATTTTGCCGGCTAGTTGTTTGTCTTTCATTTAGAACACAAGTCTAGAGTCTTTCTCCCCATCTCCCCAAAAAACAAAGTGAAGTTCTGTCTGTGCCACAGAGAGTGAGTGAAGAGAGAGTGTGTGTTGGTTTGCCTGGTACTTTAAGATTTGGACTATTACTCCATTTGTACAACAACGAGAAGAACAACAAACAACTACTGAATCGAGTTTTGTATTTTGTTCTGATTTATTGTTGTTGCTGTTAGTTTTGTTTTATGCCCATTTCGCGTTGTTCATACGCCGCCTTCTTTCATAGTTTGGAGCACTGAGCGCGGACATTCACACTTCTTTTTTCCACACGAAAAAAAAACAATAAATCGTGGGTATCTCGTGTGTTTGAGAAGTCGTGTATTAGGGGGGCCTGTGAGTGTGTGTGTAATAATGAATAGTTGGTGTTCTTTGGCATGTTTGTTTGTCCATTTGTTTATGCTGTAATAATGGCACACGGTTATAATGTACCAACAACAACACAGCAGCTCTCCCACTCTCTTTCTCTCCATAACTGACCACTCACTTGAATTCTCTATTGAAATAGGCAGCCCACTGTCAAATAACTGCACATTCATACTGCATTCTCCCTTCTTCTACTGCTCTTCTAATGAGAAAACGTCATTCCTTTATTTGATAGAGTCAAACTCGGTAAAAAAGAGATCGTGAAAAGCAAGACAATTGCGGAAGGAAAACAAATAATTGTTAGAAAATAAAAGAAATTGAATGCAAAAGCCGGATAATATGGAAATTAAAAAATAAAAACAAGAAACCAACAACAAATAAAAACAATAATATAACCAAAAAATCAAAATACAAAGAGCTTACCTTTGGCCGCAAAGCAAAAACCAAAAGTTGTTGTTAATAACAAATATCTAGCGAAAACAACAATAACAGCAAACAAATGAAATGAAAAGATAAAAAAGAAGAAACAAATCAAAACAAAGTGTTCTCTGAGTAGCCCATTCATTTGCTGTTCGTTCAATTAAACAACAAAATACTACAAATTAAAATTAATTGTTTTTTTTTTACGTTTGTAACTTCAACCGCAAAAGAGAGTAAAAAATAAAGAGGAAAATAAGAGGAAGTACCTATTCCCTAGCCAATCTCAGCTGATTTTTTTCTGTGTTTGTGCAAAATAAAAGAAAAAAAGTGAAAAAGTGTGTAAGGAAGCAAAAAAAGAAAGCAAGCAACAGAATCTGGTGCATCGAATTAAAAAAAGTGTTTCAAGAAAAATCGTTTGAAGTTAAACAAGAACCAGAGGGGGAGAAAAACTCCTTTGTCAGGTGGTCGGTCATCGTCAATTGGATTAAATAAATGTTGATTTTCTGATTAGAAAAATTAGAAATAATTGAGGTAAGTTGAAAATGAAGTATTAATTAAAATATTTTGTAATATTGAGTGAAATAGGATCTGTTGTTAATAGAAATTTAAAAATCTTTTGTAAGGCGTTTGATTTTAAGTTGAAAGTCCTTAAGAATCGAATTTGTCGTGGGCTCAAAAATAGTTGATACCCAAGTTAGGATGTTTGGAAAAAATAACAAGAGTGATTTTGAATAAGTACTGGCACTATACGGAAAGATAAATTTTATAATGTTTTAGCGGAAATGGTGGTTATATTTAGTAGACTGAAACTTTTGATGCTTATATAGTAAAAATTCGGATTTTTTTTTTTTTTTTGGATATTTATTCAAAGATAGGTACTTGTACCCTCAAACCGGGAAAGTATTTATCTCTTGAGATCCGAATATCTAGATATTTGACCAAAAAAATCCAGGTTTAAGACCTGGTTATACTAAACCGATGTGGACAATATGGGTATCATTGGAAGAAGTGGGCTGATATATTCCTCATTCACGCCAAATCTTGTGTTAGTAGAAATGTTAGGATGTGTGAAATTTGGAGAGAATCGGATGATTATTTCGCATTTTATGGATGTCATAATTATTCATAATTTTGAACCCCTTGTGTGGGAGGTATTAGAAGGAGTGCGCCTATGTTTCCATATTCCCACCAGATTTTGGGTTACTAAAAATATTGGGATGTGTGAAATATGAAGCGAATCGAATTATTATTTTACATTTTTTGAGCGTTTTGATAATTCAACTTATTTTGACCGATTGTGGGGAAGGTACCTGAAGGAGTGGTCCAATATATACCATATCCACACCAAATCTTTTATTAATAGAAAAAATAAGATGCTTGACATTTGAAGAGAATCGGATCCTTATTTCTAACTTTATTATCGTTCTTTTCTATTCAGAACTGTTATCCCTTTGTGGGGGAGGTACTAGAAGGAGTGGGCCTATGTATTCCACATTCCCACCAGATTTTGGGTTGGTAAAAATATTAGGTTGAGTAAAATTTGAAGGGAATCGAATTATTATTTAGAATTTTTTGAGCCTTCTTGTTATTCAATTTATTTTGACCGATTGTGGGGAAGGTACCAGAAGGAGTGGTCCAATATCTGCCATCTTCAAAACATATCTTGTGTTAGTCGAAATATTTGAATGTGTGAAGTTTAGAAAGAGTCGGATGCTTATTTTGCATTTTCTTACCTTTTTGAGTATTCAAATTTTTTTACCTCTGGTGGGGGAGGCACAAGAAGGAGTGGGTCGATATGCTCCATCTTCACACCAGATCTGGTGTTAGTAAAAATATTAGGATGTGTGAAATGTGAAAATAATCGGACTCTTATATCACATTTTATGAGAGTTATAATTATTCAAAATTTCGACCCCTTGTGGGGGATGTACCAGAAGGAGTGTGTCGATATCTACCATCTTCACACCAGATCTTAAGTTAATAAAAATAATCGGATATGTGAGATTTGAATAGAATCGGCTGCTTATTTCGTATTTTATTAGAATTTATGGTTATTACAATTTTTACCCGCTGTGGGGTAGGTCCTAGATGGAGCAGGCCGATATTGTCCATTTTTGCACCTGACCTAGCATTAAAAAATTATTAGGATTTACAAAGTTTGCACAAAATCGATGAAAATTTCTAGTGTGAGGTCAAATATTTTCTGTGAAAAATTTGATCGCTTGAGGAGGAGGAGTGGGCCAATATATGGCCCATCTTCGAACTCGTTCTAAGTTAGATAATAAAATTACGATATACCAAGTTTGGACGAAATCTGACACTCATTTCGAGAGTTATCTTGAGCACTAGCTACCCAGACCGGCATCGCTAGAACGACTTCAAACGTCCTGAAAGGGATTTGGTCCAAAGAGACCTAAGGTCTAAGTCTATTTTTTTCGATAGGGTACGTTTTGGCCGTATCAAAGGATATATAACCACGATAGCTACATAGCTGAGGGTATACAAATGTCCGTTTGAGAGCTAATATTGGTAATGAAAGCTGTTGGGGATACGTAGGCATAACTGAATCTCATATCTGCTTAAATCTTATTCTCTTTACTCTCTCTCTCCCTCTCTCTTTATTAACACTTTCTTAACTCGAGTAAATTTTATTTGGTTTGTGTCTTTGATAGACAAATTTCAATTTATCCTCACTGATATTTAATATAACTAGAATAAAATTATTTTTTCAGAATAAATTAAGAAAAAAATATCTAAACCAAAAATATTCAATAAATAATTCCCGGTGCATAAACCCATGTTTTTTGCACATAAAACTGATTCCCCCAAGGATATAGGTTACCTTCATAAATACCAGGATTAGTCACTCTTTTTGAAGTAATAAAAATAGCACATAATATAATTACTATCCTATTGCCAGCCATAAGACAGACCCCCATTTAAGAAAAAAAAAAAATAACACCGGATGCTATAATTCTTAGTTTTTATTTCGACGCAATTTTATTTTTATCAACTCTTTTTTTTTTTTTTTTGAAAAAAACCAAAGACACATTCGAAACATATTGACAGCTTAGACGCCGATGTGATTTGTATTTTTAAATACATATCTTTCGAATGTTCAATTTGCAATAACAACACCGACTTCCACAACCATCGCTTGAATATAAAGTTAGTTTTTATTTAAATTAACTTTTAATTGTTGTTAGAAGTTGCAAATTGTGTCACAATCAAAGCGTTATTGGATTGCTTTGGACTTTTAGCTTGGTATGTGGACCTCAATTGCAGTAGGAGTGAATCACCACCACCGCAGCGAAGCGAATATCAGGCAATGTTCTTGCTATTATTAGAATTTATGTGAAAATCATGCAAATTGATTGAAATCGATGGAGAAAATAGCAAAATGCGGAAAAAGGAAATTACTGGGAAGTTCTGTTCAATTAATTTAAGTATCTACGCAGATGACAAAAAGGGTATACAAGACAATAGAATTATATGTTTACAACAACACTAATGGGCACATGAATTTTATTTTGTGTCACGAAAGGTTTAGAGGGAGACCAATAACACTTTTAATTTATTTATGAGAAAAATAAGAAATTAAGGCAAATTCGGTGAAATAAGGCTTAAGCTGCGACAGCTTAGTTTCGGGAGCTTTAGCTCCTTGCTATATCAATTTCAACTTTGTTTTTAGGGAAAAAATACTCGTCTTCCGTTTTATATCCTCCATCATAGAATGGCTTGTTTTTCCGTTTGTCACCCCTCGAAGTATATATTTTAGACCCCCCAAAGTATATACAGGGTGAGATGAAAAAAGTGCAACCAACTTCAGACTGCTGTCATTTCTAAGCCACTCGTCCGACTACTGTTAAAATTATTCCATTGACAGCTCATTATATTGTTTACAAGCGTATAAAAGCATTTTGGTGAGAATTTTCCAGAAAAAAAGTTATTCGTGATGGAATTCAAGCGTGATAGTGTGACCTCTTTATATTTGGCTGGAAAACCACAAGTGACTTTCGTTAGAGCACTCCAGTATTTAAATGTGAATAAACCTTATATGTCTCGTACCATCGCTCGTTACCGGTACCGTAGCCCCACATCAAGGACGGAAGAAAAAAGCAACATCAGCAGAAATGGTTCGAAAATTAAAGAATCGACTTGATCGAAACCCGCATCGCAGTGGCCGAAAAATTGCTCGTGAGCTGAACGTATCACAATATTCCATTCGGCAAATATTGAAAAATAAGCTCGGGGTAAAGCCATTGAAATTCCAAAAAGTGCAAGAACTTACACCGCAACAGAAAGAAAATAGGCTCAAAAGAGATGAGAAAACATTCGTTGTCCAGCAGTTTGTAAACAAACAAAATGATCGTGTTTACTTGCCAAAGAGGTCAGCTGAAAATGTGCACTTTCGGTTGGCCACCAGAACTCAAGCGCCGGCCGGTGATGGTTTAGGCCGCCATAACAGCCGATGGTCGCTCTACGCTCGTATTAACCGACTGTGGCATCAGAATAAATGCCGAATATATTGGCGAAAATATTCTGGAGGGTGTATTAAAGCCTTGGGCGCAGACCTTGGACATTCCAACACGACTCAGCACGCGCCACTCAAGAATGATTACGAAATGAGGTTCCTCGCTTCATTTCCAGCGCTCAATGGCCACCAAAATCTCCGGATACCAATCTTTTGGCTTGTCGTGTCTGGAGTATTTTGGAAAGCAAGGTTGGCACTAAAAAATACCAAAGTGTCGATCACGTCAAGCATGGGAATGGGCCAAAATACAGCAGAGCAACATCGGGGCAGCGTGTGACGGTTTCATTGGCATTGAACAAATCTAAACTTATTCTAAAATTTCATGCTATTTCCGACATTTTTGATTTTATGGCGTTTGACTTTGTTTTTTTATCTCACCCTGTATATCGGCCTACCCCTTGTGGCCCCACAAACGATCACAATTTTTAATACATAATTCTCACCTAACTTACGAAACATGTTAGCGATTCCATTCAAACCTGGTATGTCTTAATATTAATCTCAACAAGAGATCTGATGTGAATCATATATCAGAGAGGAGTTGGATATTATTGGCCAACTCCTTCGGAACCCCTCCCATAAAAGGCTCAACAGGATGAATAATAAATACGGATACCAAAATATTTTCAAATAAACGAACAGTAGCTGAGTGCTCTTACACTCAGGCCACCACTACGATTCTGCAGCCCACCCAACAACCGAATCCACCGTAAAATGTTGGGGTCCTCAAGTCATTTTTCGATACAACAACTATTTGATTCTATCCAATAGTACATACCCCCTTTCCAGCTATAAGAACACCTGTTTACAAACTGCAAATGCCAGATTTCAACACTCCAATTTCCAATCATGTTTCACTTTGCCAAATTTCGGTGATTTATTAGAAATTAATTTGTCTTGACATTGGGATCAAAACCTTTGAATGCGGGCTTTAGTGGTCAGGTATAAATTTACCTGTATTAATTGGGTCAGTCAGTGAGCCAGCCGGGCATGCTCA